CACGCGTCAAAAATTGCAATAGTCTCACTGTGTACTGCACAGGCCGTACGAATCCCGTGTACGGCTACCCTCGGGCCACTCGTGCTTGCCTGGTCCCAGACTCCTCTCGGCGTATATGCTTAGCCAACCCAGCAGTATTCCTCCGAGAGGAAAGTGGGCTCATGGAGACGGAACAGGCCGCTTTTCGAGCCGTAGATCACGTACTTCTGCCGCCGCTTCACCGTGGCACAGAGCGCCAGGGACCCTCGGTACGTGGGAAATGGCCTTCATGAAGTGCAGCAGCGGGCACACTACATGAAAGTGTTAACGGCACCAACGCGCTTGTCGTTATAGTTGCCGCAGCCAGCACAAAGTCTCTATTGTCGTCACTAATATTCGCTCTGCCCGCCACAGAACCGACCGCGATCCGCTTTCTCAGAAGCGGCGCAGGGAGCACGCGCAGCCACAGCATAGCCTGTAGCGCTGCCTGCGGACGATACTTCTACCACTCATCCACTGCATTCTACTCGTCCTTTCAGATTCACCCCCTCTCTTCGGTCTTGCCACCGCTAACTATACCGAGCACCACAGGCGCTGCTGCTATTTCACCCCCTCTCCCGTGTCCACAGCATATGCGCCAACTGGCAAATCATTTACACATGGTCAGAATGGTGCCCCGTCCTTTATTTGCACTGATACTGCAGATCGACCATAAAGTTGTTTCATCTACACCGGGTTGACCAGCGCGTCTTGGTCACACATGAGTCCGCGCTTAATAGCGTCGTCCGCCTAAATGCGCTAAGGCAGTGGCGCCATGAAGCCGCCAGACAGCAGGAGTAGCGGTGCCGCTTCTGCCGTCGCTAAAGGAACCTTGCAGAGGAGAGCGCACTAGGCGAAGCGTGAACTAGCACAAGATTGCACGTTGTTACAGACAAGGTGGATGCTGCGGCACCACTGGGAATACGTCCAGAAGGCTACAGAGGGACAGCACCGTCGACTGCTGCTCCGAGACTTCCGCCCCGGAGGGCACAGTACTAACTACTCAGGGTGAAACTGGTACTACGCCTCCAGTCTTTCGTAGCCTTCCTGCCGCGCCGGTAGGTCTTATCCGAGCTGATGTCCTAAGCATACGCGGGGCTGCACACGAACTATGTGGGCTCTCCTGGGCTGGAACCCATCAATGCCTTCAGTACCCGGAGCGCCTGCCTCCCGTTTATCCCGCATAACTTCCTCATCCGGCGGTCGTGTAGCACTGCGGGTGTCGATACAGCTAAAAAGAAGAAAAAACATTGTCACGGGTCCATCCGCTAGCCCACCCCTCCATCGCACCCATGCTCCGGGGCGGGTGCACGTGTTCGCACGATTTAGTACACTTGGATCACATCATCGTAACTGCTTTTGTCGACCAGCTGTGTGTGCAGCGCGGAGCGCATTCTTCTGGCCAGCCGCGTCTAGTTTCTCTTGGATGCGTACTTTGACCAGACCACGTGTAGCTAAGCCCCCTCCACTGACCCTGCATGTGCTGTCGTGTGGTTTGCAAAGACAAATTTAATAACAAAGACACGCGCACTGCCACTGTTCCCAATGCACTAGGCAGCTCCTTCGGGGAAGGGAGTGACCGCCGCCGTCCTTCAAGCCGTGGTTCAGCACCTGGGCAGGCAAGAACCTTCACCTATTCGACTTGGGCACGCCTAGTGTGCTGCGTTGAAAAGCCGCCTTTTATAAAGCAACGCAGACACGGACTGTTCTGCAAGAAGGGATGACGCGGTCAGGACAGCCAGCCGCATCAGATCACGTCTATGTGCTGGCAGATTTCTGTTCCGCGTGCGACTCAGTCAGCTCCGCGTTCCCCTTGAAGTGCTCCAGGTCCTCAGTGCAGCCCCTACATCTCATCGAGCCCCCCGCGTCTATCCGCGCACGCGACACATGTTCATTCCAACTGTGCGACTGCGCCACTGTCCGCGATTTGCAGGTGATGCAGAGGAAGCTTCTCTTTACTAGTTGCGACAGACCCGGCAGATGTAGTTCGGCTTTCCCGACTCTTCAGACAGCGTCCATGCGCGGATCCTGGTAAATCTCCTACGTTCTACGAGCGGCAAGACGCCATACCGTCCACTCCCGCAGGCGGAGAAGAATGACACGTCTGACGCACGGATGACGCGTACGCATGCACGCACAAGGTCGTACGCGTTGGGACTTGTGCCGAAGTGCACTTGTGCACGCGCAGAGCAGCCGAGATGGCACAGAAGATACACCTGCCCATGCGGTGCATTTCACTAAGAAACTCTGCGTTTGTGTAGTGCAGGCCAGTGGGTGAACCATGCGCCGCACAAGTTCAGCTGAGCCAAGCAGTTGTTACTAACACGCGGGTTCATCAGGAAGCAGCAAGCGTACTATGCTGCTTGTAGTTTCGCATGTTCACAGCCCATACGCGCGTTATGCACTGCCATTTCTGCATCCAGTGCGGGACTGTTCCGCAACACAGGGTGCTGCAATAGAGCTTTTGGTCCGATTTCGAAGAGACATTAGGGACTCCAGGACGGCGTCATTTCTTGAGCGCGGTTGTCACTCGACACGTAGCAGTCCCTCAGGGAACAATTATTTTCATCCTCACTTTCCAGGCCCTACCGCCGCGTTACGTGTTTCCAGACTTCAGACGCGGCAGTTCAGTCGTCACTAGAGTCGACTTCTTCGACGGCAGCGTCCTCTCTCTTCGTCTTCCCGTTCCTGAAGCACCCAATTCAGGAGAAAGTCAACCAGCAGAACTAGCAGGAAGACAGCATAGCCCGCAGCTAGCAGATAGAAGGAAATCACTGCAGCCTTTGAACCGTCCGGGCAGCTGCCGGGGCTGCTATCGCTTGAGCGTCCAGAGTAAGAATGCGTGACACCAATGTAAATCGTACCGCCTACACATATCATCCCCATAACAAGTGTGAAAAACTTGGCGACAATTTTCGCGTACATTCTGGCACGCCGAAGACCCTCTATCCCCGGACTGCCCACCACACGCCCGAGAAACCTCTCTTGCCGCCAGCTGGGCACCCGTAGAGAAGCCGGGCGGCTGCTTGCCTCGCCGCGCGACTGACCCTCCTCCGACGGTCCAGTCTCAAAAACAGTAATATCATCGGCATCCCCGTGAAACACTGCCAGCCTTCGAGGAATGAGAGCGCCTCTTTCAGCGCCGGGCGTGGCGCAGACGCTTTCGAACGGGCGCACAGGCACGGCTGCACACGCGGCGTACTTCCCGGTACACTGCTGTACCAGTACAAGAAAGAGGAGTGTGTCAACAGATGAGGGAACCAATTTGAGAAACAACGAAACAGGAAGTACGCGATGGATTCCTGCGGTGCGACTAACGCAACAAGAGCGCAGTGTTCCCTGCGGTTCTTCAACAGCAGCCGGCTCCCAACACATTGTGGTTTTATTTCGCTCTCCGTCTTCCCCTACGCTAGTGAAACGCGGCTTCTTTAGAGTATATCCATCCTGCCCTACTCGACAAACGCTTTGCGGAGGCGCCATCGCGATGCTTAATGCAACTAGATACCAGGTGTGAGTGGCGGCTGAGAAGGCGACGTCCGACAGATGCAAGAGCTGTCGCTTCTGCCAGAAGCACGCAAGTACGGACGTGACCGCTGCTGCCGCACTTGTTTTCGAGGTACCAGGGTGAAAAACAAGAATTCGGCACGGCAGCCAGCGAGTATCTCTTCTAAATCAACGGCAAGCATCATTGGCACCTCACATGCAGAACGCGGGCAGAGACATAGTCAACGCAAGGGGTCAAATCGCGCATTGCAGCTGAACTAGCGCAACTATAGCGACGCCGTAAGGTGGACTGCGTAGACGGCGGAGGTGCAGGCAAGAAGGTTCTGCACACCAGGTGCCTCCATCCCGTCCACTCGTCCAATATCCGGTCGTGGATATCACACAATTGATGCATGCGCAGCTACCGCTTCGAGTGGCTTGCACCACACGCTACATTACAAGTGATGCACGCGCCACGGCGGCTGTCTACGCTGCGCAAGCCGTGGCATCTCGATACTCGGGTGGGTCCGGCTGCAATGGAGGGCGTAGACCTTGAGCTGGACTGTGTATCGGCGTCCGCTTGTGTGGTTCCGCTTACCCGCCTAGCACAGCGTCATTGAACTATAGATCTCTCCTCGTCCCTGGTTGTGGGGTGCCCGTCACGCTCGCGACGCGGCGTAAGTGGACTATGTATTCCTCGTCGTCCTAGTTGTGGGGTGCCCATTACCCGTCCCAGCACAGCAAATTTGGACTCCCTCTGACCGTTTTGGTTGTGCGGTGCCCATGACGCGCCCAGCGCAGCGTCCTCTATAGGGTACGATGGATGCGGGCGCCACAGCGGTGTAGACGACCTAATCGCGCACCCGCGGTGTAGCGAGCTACGGTAGCGCGGTGCTCCCCTCTCTACATGTTCGATCGGTGTGGCCACAGCGGACCCAGTAGCCCGGCGAATGCTTCATCTGAAAGAGTGGCACGCGAAAGCTTACTTCGATGGCCCGTAGTTCATTAAAGTCTTACAGTGAAACGATGGCGAGCTGAGTTGTGGCGATACATGTGCTATCCCCCACGTGAAGGTGAGGCCTTCACGTACTAATCTGGCCGTACGTAGTACCGTATAGAGGTGGCGTATCAGAGAGCCCGCGCAATGTCGGTGGGAAGAAGCTTCTGAGCCCGCTTGCGCGGGACAAGGAATGCGTTTTCACAGGCACGCAGATATTCATGAGGCGAGATGGGGAGGCGGAAAAAGCCCGATTATTTCCGGGAAAGTCCACCATTACAGACGCGCCCGCCGCCGTGTAGGGAAGATGAGTGTGCAGGGGGGAACACAGCGGCTTGAGACGCGGGCGGCCGCCGTCTGCTCTCGGCCGCGCGCTAGACTACTCCGCGGGCGGCCCAGCTATGGACACTCTACTTCTGACTTTCCAGCATGGCAGTAGCCACGGTTGTAAATTCGCCCGAGCCGTAATTTAGGAAGCGCAATCTCGCACGTTTACGAGGCCCTAGTCTGCGTGAAGGTGGTCCTTGCCTCGTAAAAACTCATCATCAGAGAGCCTAAGGGAGGGGACTATGCTCTGGGCGTACGCGGCCTGCTGTGATGCCGTGTGAAGCAGCTTGCTGGTGACAATAGCGCGCTCCCGTTCCAAAGGTACTGGTCTATTTGCGCAGGCGGCCTGTGCTTCACCGTATATCAAGAGGAGCCGCGCGTGCACACTGAAGACACACAAACGAATGTTGCGAGGTCTTGACTGCACGTATACGTTGGGAGTACTCGGCGTTTTGGGAAAGCCGATAGAACGTTTCTCTCCGGAGGGATTCGTCAGCGCACTTGGCCCCATAGATACTCACCTGCGCAGGGCGCTTCACAAAGCACAAAGCTACGCCAAGGGGTGCCTACCAACGAAGCAAAGTGCGCACCCCGCGCTAAATGACTAGGTCTGTGGCCCTCGGTAAGGTGAAAGGTACACAGCTGCAAGTGCCAGTGTGCATGTGCTGGTGTGCAATTGAGCTGGGCCTGCCTTATTAGAGGGTATTTTGCCGGGGTCTCCTACCCACACGGAACGCGCAGAGCGCAGCACAATCGTGGCGAGGGAAACGCTTCTTATCCAACAGTTCCGGTGCGTGGCTAGACGCTGCTTGGGCACGTGCTCGCCTGCCTCCTCTTCTGCCGCCGCTCGCGTGCGGCTCAGGTCCTGATCCCCGTCGCACCCTGTGCTGCCTTATGCTGAGTACGAGACCGTCATTGCTCGGCGGGTGGCGTGTAGCGCAGCAGGCACCCGACTCCGAAGCTCGGGCAGACTCTCGCTCGAATAGCCGACGCTTCAGCCGCCCGTCCGTCACGCTCGTCGATTTCTCCTCATCTGCAGCCCCGCGCAACTCGCTGAAGGCATAGCAGCGTATTGCTTCGTACAACAGTGATGGCACCCGTCCGAGTTTGCTTTCGTGTAGTATCACATGTCTGGCGACGTCTACAAGTCATCTCTACTGCGGTGCGGGAAGAGCTGCCGGACTGTCCGCCGTATACCCAGCGCCTGCTCGAGTTTGCTTTCGTCTACTGTCACGTGTCCGGCGACGTGTACTGGTCATTTGTACTGCGTTTCGGGCTGCTGAGGAGTTTGTTCCGTGCGGCGTTTCCAGAGTACGACGTCCTGCTCCATGCCAACAGACGTGGCCCCGGCCTGACGGTCAGTGTGAGCGGACAGGAGTACCCCTGGTGCCTTGAGCCGCGTTTACGCCGTTGTTATCGCTTGCAGCTAATACAAAGAACATCTGGCTGTATCGAATGTGACTAGGCCCCGATGAGAGCTGCACCGTCTTTCCGATGAGAGCTGCACCGTCTTTTGTCCCAGCATACCGGCGTATCCTCGCCATCACGCGTGCTCGCAGGGGCGGGTCGAGGAAAGTGAGCAGTAGCGTGTCTGAAGTGGTTTCATTGCGACAGGACGCACCGTTGAAAACGGTAAGGGAACGAGCAAATGACTGGCCTAAACGGGAGTTAGCGGATCCTTGTGCAATCGCGATCCGTCGTCTTCCACCTTGGCTTGTGCACTTCCGGTGGTTGCAACCGTAACGGACCGTGCGCACCAGCCTCAACGGATGCGAATTCAAAAGCAAGGCAGGCATTAAGTGCATTGGGAGTACTGGGAGCGGTGTGTAGCACATGTAGCAGTAGTGGCGGGATAGCCAGTTTCTCCCTCTGGAGTTCGCCCTTTAAGACATTCTTTAGAGCGAAGCGATCGTGGCGACGATATTGACTCAAAGAGGTGGGAGCATATTTTCCCTTATTTGCGTACGGCACAAAGAGGTGGGAGCGTATTTCCCCTTATTTGCGTACGGCAAGTACGACAGATCTCCAGGGAAGGACAGCTGACTTGAAAAGACGGGCACCAACGGTGTGTTTCTTGCAGGACCGGTGGGGATCTCCCTACACATCTGCTGCGGTATACTGTTACTCGGAACAAAGTGTTGCACCAGCTTATCCCAGTGCATTTTCAAAGCCAAAAGGATCGTAGGAACACCGCGTTGAGGCATTGGGCTGCCGCATACAATCGCATGATCGTGTGGATAACACCGGAGAAAAACTATTTCAGCGCTTTTCCGACGGACTGCTGTAAATCACGTGCCAGCGCCCAGAATCTATATCCCAATGCTGGTGCTGCTAATAGCATTGTCAAGCTCGCGTGCTACTCGCCCTGCTGGTATTACTGCCGCTCCGGTACTTCTACCTACACCCGCGTCAACAGGGAGCGTCTGCGTTGGAAAAGAATTTAGTACCATAACGACTAACGCAGGCGCTGCAGCGTCTTTGGCTCTCTTTGTAAAACCTCTGCTACATTTCCAGGTACGCGAGGCACAGCGCTATCCGCTGGAGGGGCCGGCAGCGTCGCCCCGGCACCGCATCTGTTGCCAGGGGCCGACGGACTGCGACTTTTCCTTCACGTCTGTCGCTTCTCCTGTTTCAGCGCGTGCTTCTGGTGCTGCGCCAGTGACACAAAAGGCAGGCCGCGCCACTTACTGTGCCGTTCAACAGAGTTGTATCTCGCACTGCTTACCCCTGCCATGTGGTCGACAGCGACTGCCGGCGGTCGCGTTGGAGCTGCTATGAATCACCGCAATGCTTGCACTTCGGAAGTGTCCTGCAGTTTCTCGTGCTGCCGCCCCTACTCGTACACGAGAACCACAAGCGTTAAGAACGCTCCAAAGCTTAGCGCCTGGCTATGCTAGACACACTGCCCTATCTGGCCCAATAGTCTTGTCTACAGACAGACTCCGACATCATGAGGCGCGTCCGGTCGCGAGCATGTCACTCTGTCCTTTGGCGGGCTGCGAACAACTTGGTCGTCACGTCTCATTCCGATACGCCTCGACGCAGATAATTTGTCGGAGCATCCTGCGCTGCAGTATCACCGTTGTATCCTTTGACGACCAGCAAGTCCTCTTCTGCATTTCCTCTGTGAATGAGTCGGGTGCTTTGGCAGTTGAGCCGGTGTCTGTTCGTAGCGCTCGATGACGGGCGGCGGCTCACCTTCCAGGGACAGTGCTCTCCCGCTTTCGGGTTCGAGAGCTGACTCTGCATCAGGCGGCGGTCGTTTTTACAGAGGGTTGTGTGGGGTCCCAGTTGCACCGGTCTTTCAGGGCCAACGCCTGAATTTGGTTCCGTATGACGGTCGGCCGTTGAAAGACTTCAGCTCTTTATAGGTACTGTGCCGCATGCACACTCGCGAGAAGGCGCTTGGCATCATTGTAGTCACGTGCCTCGAGCGCGCGCATAACCACGGGGGACGTACACCGTGCGTGGAACTGAACACACTGCCGTCGTTTCCCTCTGGATTTGTTGATGTGTGTCACACTGCTTACGGGCGACTGCAAGCCGTGGAAAGCACATTTGCAATGCTGGAGCGCGGCGCCCAGGCTGGCGCAGTAGGAGCAGGTCTCCGGGTTTGTGAACCAATGTATCTTTGGCTTTCATGGCGATGTGAGGACGGTGATGGGGGTGGACTGCGCGTCTTTCATATAGTTTGAAGGCATTGTCATCTCTTCGAATACGCTTTCATGTAGCGCTTATCCATGCCCGGGAGACTCTCGTCGTCGAACTCCTTCGCTCGCGAATCGTTATAAAGCGCACGGTGCAGGAGCTGGCAAGCACATGCCCGCAAGGCGATCTCATGGCCTGCGACAGCGTTGTATAACGTATGCGGGAGAAAAAAAAGCGTTTGCCGCGGGGCAGCGCGCCCTTCCGGAGAAACCTCACGAACCTACGTGGCGGCGTTTCCAGTCCACATACAGTAGCAAACCTGTTCGGTTGCGGCGCTCTAAGTGGAGGTAGTGCTTCCGTCCGTGAGCATCGAACACGATGTGAATACTGTGAACAAGTCTTCACACGCGTGGGAAGCCAACCGCGCGCTGATGGCCGCCCCGCTGCAGGCGACTAGTAATGTGAGTGTTGATGCCACAGCGCTCGCTCTCAGCCATCAGGAGAGGTGGGAATCTACGCGGTTGTCGCTGAGGACCCTCCGTCTCATTCCTTCGCGCCCGTACGCAGGACTGTCGTGCTTCACTCCCCGCCTGCATGGACTGCTTCACGATTACCCATTGCATGCGGCGCCTTCGGAGCCGCCGAGCCGTCTCCATGCCTGGTTCCCGTCGCCGATCACCCTTTATGGAATCTGCGCACATGGTACACTGCTTCAGCTGCACGCGTACACAGGCGTTGCTGCCCGTGCACAGTATGCCCTCGCATTTGCATAAGTGGAATAGGGCGCCACGATACGCTGCCCATTTGTGTCTTGGACACAGGGGAGTTACACGCAAGAAACTACGTGTTCCTGCGTCGCGCGTCATCGCAGTGCACACACCGTCGCTTGTGATCGGTCTCGGCGTCTAGAATATTCGTATGTGTATATGTATGCATATAGGCGTAGAGGCTAGCGAGGACGTACGTGCTTCCTGGAATACATACGGCGACCGACCACGTATAGGCCTGGACAGAAAAAGCATGAGGCGCACAGGCCATGTGCGCTGTGGGACGTAACACTTGCGCACGTCTGGAGAGGCGCACGGGCGTCGTACGCGTGACCGCTACTGCAGCGCGTTTGCAGATTGCAGTGCAGAAGTAGCTCTCAAGCGTCAGGTTGTAGCATATTTTTTCCCGAGTTCCCTCGGACGGGGAGCGGCTCCATCGCTAAGGTGCACTGTGCAGTGTGGGCGGGGCCGCTGAATGAGGGTATAACGGCATGATTTTTTCAGTCGAGAACCATGTCCGCTGAATACTATGCCAATCTGTTGCCGATCCTCAAAAATTACATCTTCGCAATGACCACTCGTTGGTCCCGCATCCGTCCTTGGCAATAAGCTTCTTTCACTGCGCATGCCTGGCTGAAGTCCAACCGCCAGCGTGCCGCAGATGTTGCGCTCGCCGTCCAGTGCCAGCCGTTACTGGCATGGGTATCCGCTGCTGGGGAATAGCCGGCGCGTTTCGTGCCACGCATTTTGCTTTGCGCTCGTGGACAATTGCTTGCCTGTGGCACACAGTGTTGGCTTATGCCACTCCCGTACATATTTCGCGTCGCGCTCGTTTACAATTGTTTGCCATGATGCAGGCTGTTTGCGGCTTCCGCACTCCTGTACATCCGTTTGGTTGACTTCTTTTGCACACACACGCTAGCGCTGCCGGGGCCTACCCTTCGTACAGTCGTCCGCCGCTTGCAGCGCGGTCCACACGCCAGCGCTGCCGGGGCGTACCTTCGTACAGTCGTCCGCCGCTTGCAGCGCGGTCCTGTTGCGCTAGCACCTCTCAGACCTGGCGGCATGCGTACGTACGTGCATGTCTAACATCGGCAGATGTGTGCACCGGCCTGTACACACGGCTTAACCGAGCGTGCATGCAACTCGTTTAGCGCCACGTTCTTCGACCTGCCTCTCCCAGGCGGTTGCCGCTGTATTGCTGAGGGGTACGCTGGAAATATTCGTGCGTGGAAATGTTCGTGCGTGCTTCGGGTTCCCGTGTCGCCAGCATGTGTATCTTCAAGTTCTACCATTTTGATAACACGTCCGTTGTCGCCATATTCTTCTCCGTGGCAGTGAAATTTTCCAGGCTCCTTTATACCCGCAGTTACTCCTTCAGCTGGACCCTGAGGATTCCGCGGCGGATATGGAAGTGCTCTGATACACGTACGGCCGTGATTATAGGCCTCTATGACTGGTTTTGTTCGCAGTCTATCTCTCGTTCGCAGTGTGCGCGACCTTGTGACCGTCCGACTGCCGCTGCTCGTGCCGCTCCTTTGCCTCCCTGCAATGCAATATCTTGCGGCTGCTTTCTCGCAGAGCAGCCGCGAGGGTTACACAGGGGCGTTAGCTGGCCCCCTTTTTTTCGCCTCTCGTAATTGTGGACCCAGTGAATGTCTTGTAGGTGACAAACAAGTTCCTTCTGCATGCGGCGCCGCCGCGTGGCGGTGCAGCTTCCCTCGCCGCCTCTTGCCGAGTCCACACACTTCACAACGTAGCCACCGGGCCGCGTGCTGTGTACTCCTGTGGCTTGCTGCCTGCTAACAATCTTTTTCGCTCTTTATCGCTGACTCTTCGATTATTTTCTCCCTGCGCATCCCAGCCTTGTCATCTTTTCACGTGCGGTCCTGGTTCACCATGGCCGCAACTATTCTTGTGCTTCGGGAGCGAGCCGCTGGGTTTTGCTCCCGCAGCAAAATCATGCCCACTGTAGTTCAGGGCCTAGCTGTTCTGCACGTGCGCCTTCGCCTCCTTCTCCACACGTGGTATATGCACACTCCCCCACACAAAAACCTTATTCTGCAGTGGGACTAGAAACTGAGGCGGCAGCGACCCAAAGTACACGATTGTGCGGTGTGCAGCCTCCAAGGGACCCGGCGCCGCTAGCGAAAGACACCTGTAGTGAAGTAGCAGCCACCCTGGACGCAGCAGCCGAGTGCGGAGCGACAGGACAAGAAGTTCGGGAGCCGGCGGCAGCAAGAGGTCCAAAAATGTCCGGTTGTCGCGAAACATCACAAGGAGCGGAGCGGCTCACTGAGGGCGCAGCTGACTACGCCGAAGTCTTTGCTCTATCAGAACGGGTCCACCAAATAGCTTCACCCAGCCGCTCGACCGGCAACAGCGGCCGGCGACGTAGCAGCAGCAGCGGCTGGAAGGACTGCGACCCCAGCAACGATGTCGACGCCTGAAGGAGAAAACAGTACAAAGGGAACAGACGGCGGAGACAGCGTCTACGAAGACAGCACGCGTCGCGGCGCGTGTAGGCGTATTGCAAACAGCGCACGGAGGACGTACACACGCCTGCATTTGTTTTCTGTGGAACGCGTGCTGCGGTTAAAGGAATGACCGTGAACATGCTGCGAGAAGCTGGAGTTCAAGTAAGGCGACGCATATGTCCCTCTCAGCAGCACACATGAATTCATACATACATATATATGTATATATATACATATATATATGTATATAGAGAGAGAGACAGACAGACAGTGCCCAAGTTCGGAGGCCTCTCCACAGGGGAGCCGTAGCCTCACCCCGTGAAGTACTAGACGGACGACGCGAGCGGCGGAGACCTCTGCCGTTGTTATTTCGTCGTATAGAGCTGCGTGGTAGACCTCTAGCACGCTTGCACGCAGCCAAAAGAACATGATCACATGCGGATACGGGCCTCAGCAGTGCACCGCTCTACGGTAATGCAGAGGGTAAGGGACGCCTTTTCACCAGGTCTCTGATTCCGCCCGTTTCCGCTATCTATCTTGTGTATCCCTCTTATACCGGTGTACGATCTCCTGTGTCCACCTTACGCCACAGAGGGCGAATATGTCACGTGTCGTGTATTCATGCACACATGCTCTGTTTTAGTGGGTACGTACGCCCATGCCATGCGTGCCAGTTTCTACGTCGAGGCCAGGTGCCTCACTTCTGGGAGTAGTGGGTGATCTGGTTATGTGGGCTTTCCCCGTCTGTAGTGCTCTGAAGATGGCGGCTGTAAGAGCGTATAAGGATAGACGCATAACGCCCTCCGGACACCTTTATCACCGGCAAGGGAGGAGGCAGTGCAACAGATCCATCTCTGTGGCCCGGATATTTGTGATAATTTTTTAGTCCTCCGTGCCTGTACCCGCTTCTTAGCATCGACAGACGGATTATGTGTATTCTCTTCTATTGTGGCTTCCTGCGAGTAAACCTAGAGTGCGTGTAACCGCTGATCGCTGGTCTGCTCACCAGACGCCAGCCAGCAGTATCATACCCAAACTCTGAACGAGCAGGTTATCTTCTCTTCGCATGGCCCGCAGCATTGCCATTAGCCTATAACACCCCCCGCAGGCGGTAAATAGTCAGCATGGTTGGCGCGAAAGCGACCAGCGCATGGGGGACGGATAGGACGATAAATAGGCACCTCCAGCCGTATGGCGAGCAGCAACAACCCCACCCATGTTACAGCGAAACTAGCCTTTCTGCGTACGACAGCGTACGCCGCCGTCGTTATCGAACGCACTGCATTAAACATCAGATGATGGGGTGCAAGTATATGCCTAGGGCTGAAGCGTACGAGTGAGCATCCCTATGACACATACGTAAGGTCAGGCGGGGTTCTGCGGAGAGCAGAAGATCTTAGTACGAATAGCCAGACGCGGGTCCGTGACTCGTTCAGTAGCAGTGTAGTGCAGTCACCACAGCCTACACCTTGCTGCTTCGTCCATAAAAATGCGTCAGGGAGTCTTCCAGGTCGGCCGCCTTTGCCTTCTTCTAAATCGCTCTTGTGCAGATCATCCTCGCCAACACCTATCATCTGCTGGCCTACCCTGGACCGGACGTCGTAGAACGCCTTGGGCGTCTCCAGGTACAACGAAACAGCATGTCCCGCACAAGAGCGAGGATTCTTTCATGACAGGACCATTATAGCTCCAGGCGCACGTACAGGTGTGTTTCCCTATGTGTGTGGAAAGCGGCGCGTCTATTAGCTCTCCGTGCTGTGCGCGGTGTACGCCACCCGTAGCTTCACATGATTCTAGAAAGAATATGGCGGCTGCTACTTTGTGGAATCCCTGCCCTTCGAAGTATTCCCCCCACGTGCCTGTTTCTGCGCTGGTACGCCTACTGTGTCAGCTGATGCCCTGCGTACACACACGCCCCCCCTACACTCGTATGTAGACGCGGGTTTACGTGTTGGCCGCATTGAAGCTTCCCTGAAGACGGCCAGGCTTGAGGAGGCACAGGGAAGAGAAATTGATATCTAGATGCTACGTTTCTGAAGAGGTTCGCAAGGACATTCCTACTCTGGGTGCGGCGAAGATTCTTACTGAAGTTTCACAAGTGTACGTGCAGAAATAGACCATCGCACCTGCCTCTCAGCTGATAGAGGCCAGTATGTACTCAGCTGCAGATACACGTGCCTACGCATCCGTGTGTTTCCTCTTTCGTGGACTCATATGTGTATATATGTATATATTCATGTGCGCAGCTGTAGATACACATGTATACGCGTCTGTGTGTTTCCCGAATACTCTTTTGTGCATTCACACATGTATATATATATATATATATATATATATATATTTGTTGGTTACGTGAGATGTACGGCCCCCCATAACGGCGTGCCAACACTATTGGTTTCGCGCTACCGACCATCTGTGCGTCTGCTTCTGTTGCCATTACCTGGTGCCGCTGCCTTACCGGAACTCTGCTCATCGGCACGGCCACTCGCACACGCAACCCCACAGAGGTTTCTCACAAGCGTCTTCCCCCGACCTCCTCCTCAGCCCACCTTTTGTCCGATATGCCGTCGGTAGCACGGCATTGCCTTGTACTGTCTCCATTTGCCTGCCTCAGCCTGCTCGCCGTGCTGCAGCTGCTGTCTTGCGCGCAGCAATTTACGGGGTGGCGGGGCCCAATGCTTACAGACAGTGGCGGGTACCAGGTCTTCTCTCTGTTGCATGGGCGAGTAGCTGATGAAATAAAGGGAAGAAGAGCTTGTGGCCACAGGAAGGCCGCAGCTGCCGGCAGCTACCGGCTCGAGGCGCTGGAAGCAGCAACTTGTGCGAGACAGGCAGCAGCCTGGCAGGCGCCTGGTGCCTCGATCAGCAGAAGCAGATGCGCAGGGCAGCAGTGCACGAGACGCCGCTGAGTCCACTCTGCTTCAGAGCATGGCTGAGCAGGAGAACACGAGTACGGCGGCAGGGTGCGAAGAAGGCGACATAGAGCCTGCAGGCTCACGCGTGTCCAAGGAGCTTCCGGAACAACAGCGGCAGCAGCAGCAGCAGGGCAACCACCACAAAGAGTGCAACGGCGCCGACGCAGCCGCAGCACCAACCTTTCCTACCATAAATTCGCGCACCTGGAGTACTTCTAAGGCGATGGAGGAAGTCGTAAAAGACTACACGCGGGCGGCTGTGCCACACGCAGCAGTACAAACACAAGAGGGAGCAGCAGCGCCGGCGCAAACCGGCAGGCACGACGGGTGCAGGGATATGGACGAGGAAAACGCTTCTACTAGCAGGACGAAAGTGCCAGCCTGAGTCGGCTGAAAGCCAAGAGATCAATACCTTTTATGCAGGAGCAGCCGGAAGGGCACCTTCCGCAACAGAGGGGTCATAAGCTGCACGCGGGCAAGGACCCGCTTTCCTCAGCATTGTGGCAAAAGCAGCCGCATCTGCAGCAGGCGCCGCGACAGGTACAGGTCTCCGAAGAGCAGCAGAAGGCTCAAGAGCAGACACTGCCGGGACAGCACCAACAGCCTCAGCTACGAGGTCAGCATCAGGTGCGGATCTGCCAGCAGACGGAGCAACAGCGGCTTCAGAAGCATCCGTCGCAGGCCGTGGACGAGTGGACCCACCCACAACAACAGCCAGAAGATCGTCCACGGCAACAGTCAGAAGACAGCTCTTGGCAGCGAGAGCAGCAGCAGCACTGTTTGCAACAAGCTGAGCCTCTGACGCAGTCGCAGCCGGAGGAGCAGCGGGAGCAGCTGCGTCCGCAGCCGCCGCAGCCGCCACAAAGGCGACCGTGCATTCAGGAGAAGCGTTCAGATGAATGCTGCGTTCCTGACGATTCTTCGTTGGTGGTATCCATAAGCGAAGAAGGAGTGACGTTCAGAAGCTATTACACGGAGATCTCATCTTACTGACTCCGGAGAAGGCCATTGAGGCGCAGTACCAGCTAGGTAACAGTTTGTGCTTCTTTTCATGCACTGTAAGCGCGACGCAGCGGAAGATGCGTCGTGCACACCACGCATTTAGTGTACCAGCGGTTCACACATGGCGCAAGTGGACGTACACGAGGCGTTTCGCCGCTGTGCAGTTGATGTGCGTCTCGAACGATCCGGCCTATGAGTCTATCATCTCTTGGACGGTCCGGACTGTGAGTCTATCAACTCTTGGACGGTCCGGACTGTGAGGTTATCATCTCTTCTGCGTTCGTCCGCGTCGAACGGGTGCATGTAAGGCTCTTCCGAAGGCATACACAAAAGTACAGGGCTTTGCACGCATGGCTCTGTATGTCCGATCACTGTCGCGCCACGTCGGTCGAGTGGTTCGCCAGCATTGCGCGCAGTTTCCTCCGTTTCCAGTCGGAGCGTGCTATCGTGTGCCTGTCATGTACTGCGTTGCTGATGTCCTCGCCTTGTACAGCGGCACGTCTCGTTGATGTTTCTGGCGTAGTGAAGAAACCTGTTCTCCTCGGATTCTTTCGTGAGATGGTCGCTCAAGCAGAGTGGCGCATCCTTGAATCTCATACAATGCTGGCCCCTCTTTCAGCCGGCAGGCTTTTGAAAAATAGGCTGCCCCAGCGTGTGCCTGAAACACAGATTCAGCCTCGCGGCGGTCACGGCTGTGGGCTGTCTTTGTTTCCGTCATTTTTTCCTGAGCCTACAGAACTGTGCCTCCCCTTACGACGCTGTTGCACTGCATGCACGTGTGTATATGCAAAACCGCGGGTGCCGCTTCCTGTTGCACCCGACGCTAAAAAGGTAGCGTTCCTTTGTTGTAGTGGAGGGCAGAACTGCACCGCAGAGTCTTTGGACATGTGGCTGCGGTATTTCCCAAGTTAAAATTTTTCTTCCTGGTCAGTGCAGTAACTCACGCTTCTCGTCTGCCGGCATCTGACACGTAGGCTGGCTCTCTTTGTTTCGACATGGCTACACTCCTATAACGCCTCGGGGCCCCCCCATCCGTTTTTTTCCTGATATATCTGCATGCCCCAGGCTCGTGTTGTCTTTTATGCGAAAACTGACACTAGAATATTTCACTGAGTGTGAACTGCGGCACGTGCCTTGAAAAGCCGACCGGTCTGCACCAAAAGTCGTTTTCGCTGCTGCAGCATATCTCGATCTGAAATCGCTGCGTCTCACTCTGTCAAGCTGGTCTGACCGAAGACGCAGGTGTGTGACCAGCTTCACCCTTTATGCTTCCCGAGCTTTCAGTTTTACCGTCGTCTCTTTCTTCTTCTTCTTCTTTTTCCTCTTCGTCTTCTTCTCCACCTTCTGTCACTGCTTGTGTGCTGTGTACAGGTTCTGCATGCACATTCGATTTTCACTGTTCATTCTGTTATCCTCTGTATGGCACCCCGTCTGTACGCAGTTCACGTCATGAAGTCTGTCGACTAGATATAGCGCAGGCTCTTGCGAAGCGGATACCATAATCGCTACTACTCTGCATAGCCGTAGTCACAACGGCATAATACCGTGTTCTACAAATTACGAGAGACATGTGATCGTCCGCAGACGAGAACGGCGCTCACAAAGAGAAGATGCGCATAGTGTCATCGTAAAAAAGGAATCTTCCTGCCGCAGCGCCGGTAGGAAGTTTTTCATAATCATGCGACGGAGTCGCGTGAAGCATGTGAATACTTCTGCTACTGCCCGCTTGGTCAGAAGGAAGAAGTGGAAGCACAAAAACTTTCCTACACCTCTCGAACCTGAAGGGGAGTGGGGCTCGCTAAAAGAGACAGACAGGGCCACGCCGATGTGCGCAAGCGTCACCAGCCCGTGCAGTAGGGGGAAAGCGAGCCAGCACGTTTTTTTATGAAGTGGTGTCTCGCGCCTCTCGGAGGGACTACATGCCGCTCGGTTTCCTTCTCGTGCAGAGACTTCGCTCGCGTTGTACGTCGAGAAGATTTTGTTGCCGCCCCCGTGTGCCTGTGATTGGTTGTGCGTGCAGGAGCAGACCTCATAGTGGCGCTTGACGAATGTACGCCCTCACATGCGGGAAAGGTGGGCGGCACGGTTCGTGTGGCGTTTGGTTTGATGCAAGGCCACGGGAATGCAGCACAGCGAGGTGGAATCTGGAAGTGGCACAACAGCGTCTTTGCACAGTTTAGTTTTCTCCCTGCTGAGGGGGGAACTCGAGAGTCACAACAGCGTCTCCGCATCCGTTTGTTGTCCACCTCGTGGAAAAATTATATGCACGATTCTATTGTCCTCTCAGCCCTTCGCTGCTCTTTCCGTTCGTCTGCCTCCCCACGTACTCCATGAGCAGGCGGGAGGCTGCGGTCACCACGCGCCAAGGCCGGGGTGCAGTCCCTTCCTTGGTCGAAGCACTCTAGAAAAGCTTACGATGCTGCTACAAGCTGCGCCGCCAAGTTTGCGGAACGCTGCACGTGCTCGCGCTGCAGCTGCTGGCCAGCCTGCCGTGGGCAGGTGGTCCCACTCAGGGCAGCTGCGCGTGCGTGAAATGTACCAACCCTCCGTCCGAAGAGCGCGGTCACTCACCAGCTCTTGTTTGCCAGTTTCCAGTCCTCTGCTGCTCCTGCCTCATTCCTGTCTGCATCCTTCCGGGGTGGAAGCAGTGGTATCTGCACGCCTCCCTGCCTAGGAGAAAACGCTCTTCTGTTATTTAATCTACCTACATAGGCGTCGTGGTCGTATACGCACGCGCACCTATAGATCTACGATTGCACACGTGGGCATGCCGCGCATCGTCACGTTGCCGTGGTGTACGAGAGCGGTGTCGGAGTGGCTCAGGGTGAGTGTGTCTTTGCGCGAAGCGACGGGATGCGCGTGCGCTCGCGCATTTTTCAGTGGAAGACGTGTGGGTGTTTTTAGCGACCAGCCGTCGCTTACGCGGATGCGCTGTAGCGCTCGAGGCAACTGTACTGTGCCACATGTACATGCAGCGGTGGCTTAGCTTTTCGCACAGGACAGCCGCGTCGCTGTTCCGCTAGGGTCTTGTTGGCCGCACATGAGCTTTTCTTACACACTCCTAGCAATGCTGGCAAGATCAGGATAGCCCTCCCGGCGCGCCAGCAATTGAGTGCACCATGAAGGGCTGCGGGCAGTACACTTGCGGAGGCGGCGTACGCGAGGTGTGAAGGGCTGCAGCTAGTCGCTGTTTTGGCTGCTGCGCGCGCCTGCTTCCCGTAGTCACATAATCTTGTCTGCACAGTTTCAATTATGTGCCGTGAAGAGGTGTTTGTGTTCATGGACGCAGCGCTACACGACGGAAGCGATGCGGCGGTCGCAACGGTGGGGTTTACGCGGTCTGCTGCACCTGCAGCGTCTTCGCAGTGCGAGCGGATCTTACAGCGATGCACTGCCTCGCTTTGAAGCTACTGCTGGTGAGCCGTGCGTCGGCGGCTCTACTGTGCGAGGGGCTCGTTGCGGCCGCTTCAAACAGCCCGCTCTTCCTGCGGTCCCCGCGTGCGCCCGCGAGAGCGACGCAACGTAATGAGGACGGCAATCGATGGCTTTGGCCCTGCCGTAGCTTCTTTGGCGAGCTGTAGTAGCGCCGACCATCCTGCAGGCTGTGCACATGACTACGCTGTGAAAGTGATTCCTGCAGCTGCGGAGTGTCCTGTTGCTGCTGCTGGGCACGGGCCCGCTGCTGCGACAGCGCATGATAGGATGCGGCTCAAACCTCCACTGCAGGGCCTCTATGGAGTCGTCCAGGGCGGGGTCTACACAGACCTGCGCCGTGAAAGCGCTGCCTTTGTGAATGAGTAAGAATTTGCCGCTGGTCAAGACTCAAGAGGTTTGTATCAGCAAGTATTCAACTGACAGCTCGTACTTGCTTCTGACCGTATCGTCATGCCCTGGTCCGGTATCCGGCCCCCTCCCGCCCAGCCGTCTTTATGTGAAGCTGCGTGCGCTGCCGTCAAGCATGCCAAGGTCATCTCTGGAACACAGACGTACCCTTTGTTCACTGTTCTCAGACGATCGTCCTGCATCAGGAGGGCCCTAGAAAAAGGGCATAACGACCAGAGCGGGAACGCTGGCGAAGTGCTGTGAACTAAAAACGTGAACCTTGAGTCTTTCCACACAGTGCTTATACCAGATCAGATGTCTAGACTATACACCGAAAGCACCTTGCGGTTAGAGCCGCACATGCTGCAACTGCGAGCCTACGCATCCCACATGGCTGGCAAGTTAAATGCACGTGCCTGTGAGTGTCCCTTTTATTATTTAGAGAGAGAAACAATGACCACTTGCGCGGCGTGTCGCATTCGCGAACGCCTCCTAGATATCTGCGATTTGATTCACAGCAGTATCGTATCTGGTCACCGCCAGCACTAAACGCTAGGTGCAGAGACAAAAAGGAGGTGCGCGCCCTTCGGACGTCAATTACCTGATAAAACGTTTTCCGAAGCACACGCCGCACCACAAGCCAGTGACTGTTGCCTCCACATTAGCGGCGTTGACACAGAAGGGAGGCGTTCCGTGAGCTTGCGATTCAGCAGTAGCCAGCGTTCGTGTAGGGGTGGCAATCAACCAAAATTGACGGTAATCTGGTGTCTGCCGACAAGCGATAGTCCACGGCTGCGCGCTACGCAGGAAAGAAAATCTGCGTGCAGCAACGTACACACCACGTAGATGTCCAGTTGGGCTGCTTACGTACAGTGGTCAACAAGGGCCAGATCGTTCTGCGGCTGTGTAGTCGCGCACACGTACGGAGGCTGATGCGAACTTGCTGCGCTGTCCGTCCTCAGGCATGACTTCTTCGGTGCCGCCATCGGAGGGAGTCTAGGAACCGACCGGCAGCAGATGCATGCTGTCGTAGCGGAGACCGCAGCGTAAGAGCACGACCTCAGCGTAGGCGCCTCCATCCGTACGTAGTTTGCGCGTACACATGTATGAAGACTTACAGCATTTAAAGTCGCGCGGGCAATGCATTGCGTGCACATGCGTGCATCTCGTTTCCCATACCTGCGTGTAGGTACAAACTATATGTATATGTATATGTACATATATATATATATATATATATATATATATATATATATATAGCTGCGGGCGTCTCTCTGATAGCGGGTGTGCATATGCGCACGGAGGTGTATGAAAGCTGATGCGACACGACACCAGATTACACAAGTGTGTACGCGCGTGTAGACTGCCGTAAGCGCACGTGCGGGCAGACGTGCCGCTTTCTTCGGGTAAAACTGATTCTCTCTTCATCGGATATACACCTCTGCTTGTTTGTCTGTGTGCAAGTACACGTATTCTACAGGTAAGGACTGCCCACTCGGACGCACCTCCACGCGGGTGTTCGCGGCGCTCCTTGTGCGCGCTACCAGGTTCGTGTGACGACCTGGTACACTCAAAGGCCTGCCTTTATATTTATACCTCTCCCGGTTTGCCGGGTGCTGTGTGTTGGAATTTTCATATGCAGAATGCTGAGGAACGACCGCCCCATTCATTTACTCGGAGTAGGAGGCATGGTGGATATCTTCCACGGCGTAAAGCAAGTAGGCACACACGGGTGCCTCCCATGCTGTTAGTCGGTGATCATTCAACACTGCTCCCCTGCACGTCTGCAGCCACTGGCTGTACTCCTTTACGTGAATGTAGCGGGAAGCATGTGTAGTGATAGGCATATCGTATACAGAGAGAGAGGTACGCACGTCCAAGGCTGGATCACGTGGGAACACACAGCGAAAAGACATCCGTATGTGATTCTGATAGGCACCGGCGCATGTACGCATAGGATATACACGAGTCCGTACGGATTGGTGGATATGTGTACACGTGTGAGCATCGGGCTGCCTGTTGCTTGCGTGTGCGCGCGGCCAGTATGCCGCAAGGTGGCACGTTGTATCTATGACACAGAGAACCGAATGGCTGTAAAAATAGGCTTGCCGAGACAGAGACGCACACTGTAGACAGGACGTAGGAGCATATGTGTATGTGTACACAGGCAGACAATATATATGAATACACATGTATAATTCTATATGCATGTATATATATATGTCGCGACGGGTGCGCAATGCGAAGCATTTTTGAGCCAGACTTGCACAACAGAACGCCGAGGACCGTATCATATGTACAAGGGACTTACCCGGTGTTTTGTGCATGCTGTACTAGTGCCCCTGTCACAACGTGACTGTCACCGGTGTAGGCGCCTCATGTAATGGAACAACGGGCGTGCCGTTCCGGGAGAACAAGCCTAGCAATCGTCTTGTACACCGCCCATTGCTCGCGGCCGCAGACATTTTGGATGCGGTGCTTCCCCCATGGCCGTTGCAGCACAATATTTACTCGTATCTCCCTGCCGATACGCGCGTGGAACGCTGTATTGGCGGCGTTTCATCGAAGAGACCGCAAGCCCGTATTCTCGTCTTCCTTTGTGAATCGTGAGTATGAAGGTGAGATGGTAGCGGCCGCACGCTTGCGGATGTTCTCGTCCGTTTTGCGGTGGGATGACGCTTGCGCATATGGATGGAGTGGATTCTTTTCAGTAGAAAAGTTTTATAGCGTATGAGACCCCGGCCCTGGAAGGGCATATTGCACGTACGTCGACGTCTATTTGCCTCTCTACTTCTCGTGCGATTCTTGTATGTCTTTCCCAGTCCTTGCAGACTACCCGCCAGTGACAACCGCGCACAGACTCGCCACCCGCCACCGTATGTATGATGCGTGCGCATATACGTACGACGAACGTACAGCTATATGCGAAAACCCTTCAATGTAGATCTCCTAGCTTGGTAGTCTGCGTATATAGCCATTTGTTACACAGCCTCTCTGAGGCAACACGTGCATGCCGCCACCGATTATGGACACCGCGAGTATCTCGGGTTTCAAGGTTCCTCGCATATGCTTCACAGCAAGGAACACAATAGTGAGGCTGCGGAGAGCTGAATGCGAAGGTAGAGAACGTCTAGAAAGAGTGACGGCATAGCAGGCCGTCATTCTACTGAAGGCGAACGACACTTCACATTGTGCTGCGCAAGCACAAGGACAAGCGGCAACTGCATGTGATGTGAGCTATGCAGGGAATCGACAGTTTTGATTGCGTACACCCCACACGTGCGGGCCGCCACGGCAGCGCCTTGGTCCCACGGGCCTTTTGGGATGATACGCGCAGTTCAGGTCTTGCCGATGCTGCTGTGTATGACCCTGCCGCTGCTACGAAGGCACCTGCCCGCCACTACAAGAGCAGCGATCACCGCACCGGTCTCCCCGTCTCCATCTCCGGCGGGTACCGCTGCAGCTGCGGTCCTGCCGCAGCGGCGTGTCCGTGCTGCTGCACCTGCAGCTGTATCGCAGCGGCCTGTTCTTGCTGCTGCTTCTTGGCTCTGTCTAGCACCTTCTGCTGCCGCCGAGTCTCTTGTTGATACATCGTCTGTTGCATGCGCCGCTCCAGTTGGAGGCGCGGCGTCCTTTCTGCCTACTAGCGCCGCGCCCCCAGCCTCCGGCATATCTGCTGCGTGCTCCGATTCCATCCATGAGGAGGAGGTGCAGCCCCGGCTGTTGCTGCCGAAGCCCAGCAAAGGCAAGCAGCAAAAGAGGCCTACCGGCGCGCTTCCTTTTGCGGCCCATCGCGTAAAGGAGTATGTGGACCTGGGAAACGTGAGCATCGGCTGAATTTGCTTGCAAAATGGGAAGGGTCGCAGGCAGTCCTTACACGCCGCCCCGCACGTGCACGGAGACATCCTCCCTCGAACGCAGCTCTGCGAGCGCTGTCACTCACTCCTTTCCGCTGGGCATGTTGCTCATTAGCAAAGTGCACGGCTGCACAAGTACCTTGGGTACCGGCTGTCACTGTAGGCGCACTATCGCGTCACTTCACGAAGACCACCCTGCTGCTGCTCCTGAGCGCAACGGCTACAGATGTGACTATGGCGTTACCATCAGCACTACCGCAACAGCGGCTGCTGTGCGGCGGTGCTCGTTGTGATTGTCTATCGACGCGGCTGCTGCTGCTGTTGCGATCGCGGCGGCTGCTGCTTCTGCCCCGTAAGCTGCTTTTCGAGCAGCTGCTTCTCGGCGTAGGTTACAGCTCTCTCGAAGGGGGTACGTGCCTGTGACGCTGTCTGCCGGCGACAACGGGTATGGGAGGGGACGCCGGGATGCCGGGCACGACTTGGAAGGGGTAAACAAGATAGGAAAGCAGCAGATATGCTCTACGTGCCCCTTTCTGCCCCTAGGAAGCGGGATGATTTTAATGACCCCACGTGCACATGCAGTAAGGCTACAAGCTGGTGTAAAGAATATCAGGCGCTTGTCAAAGAGGGAGAACACAGCAGGGGGATAACTGCATGGTGAGTGACTTTTGCAGGCGTGTCCCGCACGCGCGCTACGAGCCAACCATAACGGGTGGAATCTGCACATACCCGCGGAAGGAACGTAGGCACTGTCTGTGCACGCGAAACGCATCCGCGCAACGGAGAGGTCTGCGGCGCGAAGGAGATAAGACGACTGGTATACGCGGCAAGCGCGCAACCGTCCTACACTGACGTGTGGTTGCTCAGCTTGCGGGCGGGTCACTAATAGAGGGACAGTGCATCATGTTGGCGCCGGACATCGGGCGAACTTGGGGGGAGCAATGCACTTCCGCCCCCGCGGCCATCAAAAAAGAATGTCTTTCAAAGACATGAGAAGCCCCGTTGCCGTGCGGCAAAGCAGCACGTGCGCGTCCTGCATGCGTAACGTGTGCGCATGATAGTGGAGTCTTTGTGCGCATCAGCGTCGTCACCTCTGTTACCGAGTGCATTCGGCCACGCCTAGCGTACCCGCTGCAGGTGCTCCACTCGTGCCTGTCGTGTCCTATTATGTCTGTTTTCTGTTGGCGTGCTGTGCGCATGTGTGATGCGGTGCAGGCTTTTTTCAAGCTCGACGATAGACCAATTGTCCCCGGGTGCGCGTGTTACGCGTGTAAGCAGTTCAGCAGGGGATATATACACTTTTTACTCAAGGCAGGAGAACCCCTAGGAGGGACGCTCGTAACTGTACACAACGTCTTCACTATCAATGCTCTTATGGCCAGCATCCGGTAAGGTGTGTAGCTCCAGGTGGTGCCAGTGGAGGGCATACGCCATGGCACTCCCGCTGCGGACGCGACTCGAATACAAGAACATAGGTACGCGCGCTTCCACAATAGGCTGGAAAAGCACGTATCGCTGCTTCATCCGCGTGCTATCTGACGACTCTGTCTATGCCTGCGTAGTAGGGTAGCCTGGGCATGCACGTACACCTGGATTTCTTATATATGTACGTGCACTTATATATATATATATAAGTCCCGTACATATATATATATATATATATATTTCTGTTTATACGCGGACACCCGTATACACAAGTGTTTGGACGTATGCAGGAGCGCAGCCCATGCGTCTGGCATGCTGTGGGTGGTACGACCTCGCGGGCGCTGCTGCGTTGAGCAGTGTATGCATTCTCTCTGCACAAATGGCTTGTGCGAGGCTGTGAGCAGGCAACGCTAATGTGGCACGGCTTGGCACGGCTGTCGGGCGTGCGTCACGTAAGGAGCAGCAGAACAGGAATACATAAATATGTCACGGCGTCCGCGTGTTGTTGCCTCAGCTGTCTCGTGGTAGCTGCGGCCTCCGCCTTCGCGGCCGTGCAGTAAGTATTTCTTCAAATGCTGCGGCTTCTGCGCCTAGGCGCACCGTGAAAATTCTGTTGCTGCATGCGCAAACGCCTCGCTGCTGTTGTCATCATCGGATGCATCCTGTGCTGCTCGTCCAGTTTTTGCCGTCGCTGCTGCACAGCGCATGCACAATGCGAATTCTGTTACTGCGCGCGCAGAAGCCGTGCTGGTGCCGACGCACCCTGTGCTGCTTGTGACGTGTTTGCCGTTGTCGCTGCACAGCGCTTTCGGCTGCCGGTCCTGTTGGTGTTGCTGCTGTCTTCCAGCCTCGCTGCAGCGGCTGCTACATCACGCGATGTTATACTGCTGACGGTGCTGCTGCGGCTTGCAGCCGGGGCATCGCGACGGGTACGCTGGTGGAAGAAGAACAGCGCTGGATTCATCCCTGCCTCGCCCAGGACGCAGGCGCCTGACTGCGATGTTGTCAGGAGGCGCCAACGTGCGCGGGCGGACTCTGGAAGGGCCAGCTCCTGCGAGAGTGGAACCTGCGGTATACAGGAGAAGCGTCAGATGCCCCCTGGCCAGGACACTGCGCGCCGGTGTATGATGAGAGATGCCCTCAACAGCTGCATAAAGCAGAGAAAGTCGACTTGTGCATATGCTAGTGCTTGGGCGCAGAGGTGACTAGCCACGGAGTAGAGCAGTTGACGCGGTACGCATGCAACTACAGCATTGGTATATGGCCCCCATCAGGGCGCCGCTAGTGCGCTCCTCCCGATTGCTACACTCAGTGACGCTTTCCGCCGAGCATATTGCCTGCTTGATATAGTGGTCATGGAGCGTTTTAGGCCTTCTGCATAGGGCGCACGGGTACATATGTGCTCTTGATTGTATGCGTCTTCGCATGCGTAGATTCTATACCTGGGTCTGCCTCCGTCTACCTTCCACGCCGTTAGCTGTAAGTGGAGCAGCGCCCCAGATAGCTTGCACTACGGCGACCGTGTCAGTTTTCCTGGATCATACAGTACCTTGCTGGCAAGCAGAGAGGCGTAGGTGACCCTAGAGGAATGGTAGTGAGTACGTTGGTGCGCATACGCGCAATCCGCAAGTCTGGGTTTTGTCCGACGGTGGGCGGATGTGTGGAGGATGAGAGAAGATACGCCTACGCAGTGCCTAGTATCGAGCAGTCCCTTCGATCTTTCCGCGTCCCTTTCCCGCCTGTACGCTCAATGTACAGACTTCTATACATTGTCCAGGCCGACAAGGCTAAGAGAGCACTGTTGTAATGAAGTTCGGTACCTGGCGTAGTCTCCGTTGGACGGTAGGCTACGAGATGCCGCTGGCCAGGCCGGGTAGCGCCTGCGCGAAGGCGTACGCGTGGCTAAGTGCTGTGCACTGCAGCGGTAAGAACAACGAACGGGGTTCTGTCCTGCTACGCTGGAAGGCGAAATCATGTGGAGGAGGCGAGGCCGCCGGGCCTCGCCATGCAGCAGTCTGGAACTGCGTGTTGGGGAGCTCCTGTGCTGTTGCACGCAGCTGCTTGCCTACAGCTGATACACCCCTAGCACGTGCAGCGGGCTGCGGCTGCTGCCTTGTCAGTAGAACCTTCCTTTTCTGAAGACACGGATGCCAATATGGCTGGTGTGTCGCCCCTAGCTGGCCCGTCCTCCGTGCATGCTTCTGCTGCGGAAGTTGTCGCTCTTGCAGCTGTTGCCGTTGCGCTAAATTGCGTCTTTTGTTGCTGCTAGTCGGGGAGGGTAGCCCCGGCTGGCTGTGCGAGTCGCAGGTCAGCTGCGGCTGAGCCACTGACAATCTGGGCGTGCTCTCTGGAGGGGGGCATCTGCATTCATACCCGCGGCAACAGCAGCCCGTAGGATGCCTACGTGACTGCATTCGGCGCATCGTGGAGGAGAGAAAATCGATCCGCCTTTCTCACGGGGTAGAACCCAAATCCTCGCCAGGCCGGGGCGCCCCACCCGCAGCAGCAGCAGTTGTTCGCACGCGCCGAATAGCAGCGACCGCTCAGCATCATTATGTGGAACAGGACTAACTCTTGCGGTCAGCATAGCATCCTGAATCCCAGTGATGCAGAAGGGACATTCCGTCCAACCAGCGCCCGTAGAGGAAAGCAACGTGGCACCGCTTAAAGGAGGAGGCTTCTTGTTTGCGGTGCAAGTGCGTGCACGTATCTACGAATATACTCGTATGCACGTCTACATACATATACGTACATATATCATATGCACGTTGTTGCATTAGTGCCCACGCTCATCGACAGGGAGTGCACAAGCAAGCAGCAACACCCACAAAAACACACACGGAGGCACCTACTGCGTGTGGAAGACAACATCGTACTGGTGCAGCGCAACACAACTGGGCACGATGCGCCGAAGCATATACCCCTGTGCGTGTCCGTAGGCATACACACGTGTGTAGATACATACACTCTCCCTCAGGCACGAAATGGAGCGGCACTTTGGCCCGTGGCTCTAAGGTGCATTTGCACCTAGATGTCACCGGCGCTCCCCTTTTCTAAATTTTTCGTCGGTGCTTCGT